AAACGTTTATAATGCGCACATAATGATTACCTCGATTAAACCTCTATCTACGCGCTCGCGCAGGCTCGTGTATTGTAAAAGTGTCGTGAGTTCGTTTTCATATTTTTTTTTTTCGACTCGCTGCGGGGGGTGGTGGTGGTAGTAGTAGTTGTGTGTGTGTGTGTGTGTGTGTGTCTGTATCCGTGTGCCGGTGTGGTTTATTTTTTCACGTGTTGCGTCCGTGAGCCGGCCAGACCGGTCCAGGGACAATATATGTCGCTTTATCTTCCGTTATTTATATTATACGTCTCTAACACCTCGTCGCGTATTTGCTCACGTTAGATTTCTTTTGAAGCGCGGGGACCGTCGAATCTTGCCCGTGCCGCCGGAATTTTTTCACCATTTTCAATATTATATATTTATATATATTTATATGCAAGTGTGTGTATACATATACAGTCTAAAGTATTAGCTCAGAGGGAACTATGCGTACCACTACCACGAAGAACGAGCTGATCGGGGGACAATTGGAAGTCTCGCCGACACTATTCCGTCGGATGTCTCACTCTTTTGTGTGTATGTTTGTATGCGTTTTTTTTCACGTATTATACGCGCATACGTAAAGTATCGGCGAGATATCCACAATGTTTCACGAGCTCCCCGACGCCCGTAAACTTCGATCACGCTATTTCATCCGGGGTCTTTTGCATCGTTTCTGTTTAAATGTGTATTTCAGTTTTCTATTATGTCGCGAACGGCGATCCGAGCAAAATCCTATCGTGCACGCCAGTCCACCGTCTATAGATATATATTACATGTCTTGGGTAGGTTTGTGTGTTGGGGGGGGGGGGGGGATTTGTATACGTGTGGATTCGTTTATAGTCCGTGGACCGTTCTGGCGGTGGCCCGTTAACCACATCTTTTTTTTGCATTACTTTAATTAATACAATATATACTTTTTTTATGTATGTATCGTAACAACTGATATTCTCAGTCCTCTCGCGCTCACACCACTCACCCTATCGCTATCCGCTTTCGTGTATTACTTGTCACGCAACTTTCTTCCGCGCTTTCTCTCTCTCTCTCACTCGCTCTTATTTACTCCGTTTTTTAAATCATTCGTCTTGTCTATCGTATCGTCTCTCTTTCACGCGATTTTTTTCGTTTAATCCCCTAACAGTCATGCGCATGCACCCTTTTTGCCTCCTCACGTTCGCACGTTCGATATAATTTTTCTCGCTCGCACGCACACACTCGCTCTCCCTCTCTCTCTTTCTATATATATATATATACATA